ATAATAATTCAACACAGATCATGTGACTTTAGTGAGTATATTAAAAGCAAAACTGGGCATGAGCTGCAACATTAACTTCACTTTTCAACACACATGAATTCTAGAGTTTGGGACAAAGCTGTAATGTCCATCAGTATATTCACCAGCAAGTGTGTTTCCCTAAACTTACAGGAAGTAATAAAGACACATTTACCATGTGTGAGCTGAGGAGCACTTAGAGGCTGGTCATGAGTGATGATCATGACTCATTATGAAAAATAAGATTAATCATAAGAGTATAACTGTAATCAATAATATCATCTATTAGAATTAAAGAGCTTAAAATGAAAAGAAAAAAAAAGTGGTTGGTTTATTTAATTATTTATATGTTCTTTGATTATAGAGCTATGGTTAAGTGCCTAAGTGGAGACATCTTGTGCCATAAAGCTGCTACTACAGCTGGTCTACAGATAATTGCTCATTAGAGATCTAAATCTACATCCAGATTTCTGCAGAAAGAAGAAAGAAGGCCTTTACTGTCTCATATACATGTACAGGACAATACAATTATTTTCTTCTGCATACTGGTAGGAATTTGGGGTAGAGCTGTAAAGCTGCTTTGTGACAATGTGTAATGTTAAAAGTTCTCTACAAACAACATAACATAAACTAGATAATAAATTATCATGAAAACAAATGCGAAGCAACTAAAGAGGGAAAACACAAAACTTATAAATAGGAACCAATCAGGAGAAACACAAGACAGGCGTGTAGAGGAAATCAGTGGAACAACCGAGGAAGAAATTCATACTATGAGAGAGATGCCCTCTGCTGGTCTGGCAGGGAATTGTCTGTGGTGACAAATATAAAGTGATCTTTTCTAGTTTTAATGACTTTGTGTCACAGTATCTGTGTAAATTGTGCAAAACATTGTATTCTTGTACATTTTCCTTCAGTATTATAGTTTCTTTTTAGAACACAGGGTTCAGTTTTTTTAATCTGTTAAGTGAATTGAAGTATTTAAGTTTTGTTTGATTCACCACTCATTTGTCTGTGCTGATAAATCTAAAGCGATCTTTTCTATTTTTAATGACTCTTCTTTGTGTCACAGTATCTGTGTAAATTGTGCAAAACGTTGTATTCTTGTACATTTTGCTTCATTATTATAGTTTCTATTTAGAATACTGGGTTTAGTTTTTTAATCTGTTAAGTGCATTGAACTATTTAAGTATTGATTTGTTTGATTCACCACTCCAGAAACATTGTAGAATTTTAGCAGCACTGTGTACAAAACCAGATCGCTGTACTGGCCTGATTTACTAATTTATTTCATTTTTGTCTATAAAATAAGATGAGATGGGCTGTTATAGGAAAATAATCAACAAAAGAGTGGTATGATGCCATTTTCTTACAGTACATGTCATAGTGTTTTATTCCACTTGTAACACAGAAAGTTGGCAAAAATTACAGTTTTTATTTATTAAAGAATGCCACGTCTTATTTTGTCTCCTATGTACGCCCACGAAGAAGCAGGCCTAGACTAGATTTACTGAGAATGTCACCTTGTCATTACAGCATGTGACCTTATTAAGCTCACCAGTCAGATTCAGCCAGGTCACTATGTACAGTACCAACTAGAGTTGAGGATGTTAGGACTGATGATGGCAGCCATAACAGTAATCCCCCTCCTCTTTGTGCTAGAGTCCTTTAAGGCTCCTTCTTACAAGCAAGATACCAGACTGAAATGAGTGTCTCTGAAAACTGTCTTTTTGCTAGTGTTCACTTCAGTGAAACGTGTGGAAGAACTACATACTCTGGTAATAAGTTCTTCCTGTGTGTGTTCCTCATGACATGGTGGCATACGTTATTTAACCATGGTTCTATAAGCTACCAACATGCAACTCAGTACAGCAGTTAACCTCACAACCAAAAATGCAGATTAGATCCATGTTCATTCATTCATGCATCTTCAGTAATCACTTTATCCTGCTCAGGGTCACAGTGGATCTGGAGCCTATCCTGGGAACACTGGGTGCAAGGTGGGAATACATCCTGGAATACACACTCATGTGCAATTTAGTGTAACAATCCACTGGCAAGTTTTTGGGAGGTGGAAGGAAACCGGAGAACCCAGAGGAAACCCACATGAACATGTGGAGAATATGTGAAGCTCCATACAGACAGTAAGCTGAGCTCAGGATTGAACTGGGGACCCTGGAGCTGTGAGGCAGCAATGCTACCTGCTGTACCACTCTGCTGCCCATAGACCCAAATATGTCCCTTTATGTATAGAAAGAAACAAAGTGGGTAGGTCTTCAGCTAAATTGGGAATCAGCTGTGATTGACTGACTGATTATTTATTCATTTATTAAGTTTTTTTACTATTAGATTTTGAATACATTTAAAAAAAACTATTTTGTTTATTTTATAAAGTATACTCAACAGTTTGGAAAAATGTGCAGTACATACACAGAGATTTGCTGGAAGTTGAATTTGTGTGAAAAAAGAATTCATGAATTTTGTACGATGAGATTATTCAATACCTTTT